GAAAGAAAGAAAGAAAGAAAGAAAGAAAGAAAGAAAGAAAGAAAGAAAGAGAAAGAAAGACCTTTCACCTTGGCTAAGTTGCTACATTTCAGCAGTGCCTTTTCTTACTCCCGCTGCAAGAATAGAAAGAGCCTAGAACATGGTTCCGGATTTGAGCTGACAGAAAGCTGGTTTAGTCTTAGCCCTGATTAAGCTCAATAGTAACTTAAACCTTAGCCATATTTAGGGAAAGTGGGGCCAGTTCATACCAGAGAGCTCATGCAATCCTGTATAGACCACTGAATTAAGGAATTTATAGTTCCATTGCCATTTATTTATTTGTTTGTTTATTTCAAGACTTATAAGGCTGCCCAACTCAGACAGTGTGACTCTGGGTGGTGTACAACATAAACACACAATAATAATAAAAATAAAAATAAAAGTAATAACAACAAACAGCCCTATATATGAATGTGCCTGTTGAGTCAGTCTTGACTCCTGGCGACTGCCTGCAGTTTTCTTGGCAAAGTTTCGTTGGAAGTGGCTTGCCCTGGCCTCCTTCCTAAGTCTGAGAGAGAAGGGCTGGCCCAAAGTCACCCAGCCGGCTTTGTGCCTAGGCAGGACTCAAACTCACGGTCTCCCGGTTTCTAGTCTGTTGCCTTAACCACTCCAGCAAACTGGCTCTGTATATATAAATACAAAAGCTAAAATGTAAAATGGCAACCAAGCACAGAACAAAACAGAGCTCAGGGGGGACTCCCACCCAACCGACCCCTGATGCCTGGGGGAAGAGCCAGGTCTTCAGGCTTTCCTAAGGGCAAGGAGCGTTGGGGCCTGTCATATAGAAGGGGGAGATCGTTCCAGGGAGCAGAGCCAACCATCAAAAAGGCTTGCTTCCTGGGTCCCCTAAGGTGACGAGACTTAAAGAACCTGGAACATGCCCTCCCTGTGGAAGCATGTGGGGTGGGGAGAAGGCAGTCCCTCAAGTAACCTGGTCCTATGCCACGTAGGGCTTTAAGGTAACCACCAGCACCTTGAATTGCACCCGGAAGCCTATTGGGAGTCGGTGCAGCTCGTGGAGTAGCAGTGTTATGTGGGCATAACAAGATGCATTCATAACTACCCCCATTGCTGCATTCTGGACCCCTTGAAGCTTCCAGGTGGTTTTGTATTAGATTTGCTTGAATGGTTTAGCTCTCTTATCCTATCCTGAGATTTGGAGTTAGTGGTAATACATTCTTTCTATCTCAGCCATGTTTTTGCGTATGTCCAGTTGGTCTTTTTACGGGGCCATGTAGCTTTAACTTCTCTTTTGCAAATACGTTTGCAACAGATGGGACTTGGGCAATACCAAGTGTTTCCAGCACCAGGTTTACAGATTTCTTTCAGTCGCTTGGCATTTTTGTGCTGGGGGTGGTGGCGGTAGGGCTCTCCCAGCATAATGGAGTATTGTCTAGCACTCCGATGAAGACCTTTGTTTTGCACTTCCCTTCTTACATCACAGTGCCTGGTCAGCCAAGACGTTTCTCCTGCTCTGAACAATGATTTTAGCTCTCGGGTAGGAAACTGCCTGAAACCAGATCTGACGAACCAGCAACATGAAACTACCCCTGGTCCTTACAGCCAGCTTGACATTCTGCCATTTGCATGCACAGAAATGGAGTTGCAGGCTTAGTTCCCCTCCTTCCGCACCTAAGGTTCATGGCAGGCTCTCGGGTTGCCTGTTGTTGTAGAGTTGTTGCTGTGCCTAAATTATTGTTTTGGAAGCCTTGTGTGTTTTAGCTGCAATTAACTCTGTCCTTTCCCCGTTGTGCAAAAGTGTATTACCATCATCAGGTGTCTGCTCAGGACTAATGGCTGGGGTGTATGTTTTTGTAAACCCACGAGGGTGAAGGAGAAAGGACTGAAGGTGGATTTGACTGAAGCACTGGCTGGGGCTCTCCTGCCTCCCTGGCACTGCCACTCCAGTTCAGGTCTTGTTGCATAGAACAGGAGGCTCCAGAAGGTCTTCAGCAGCAGGGCTTTGCATGCTGAAGGGATGAAAATTCACCTTAATAAGACCTGCCTCTCGGTGTTGTCAGTTCAGCTTGGAAATAAGCGTAGTGATATTTGAAACCATGTTGGATTCAGGTTCTGTTTCATTATGGTTTCACCTTTATCCATAAGAAGTAAAGAGGGCTATGCTTCAGTTGGCGTGCATGGCACTCCACGCAAGGAGAAACAGCAAAAATGGCTGATTTTATACTCTGCATTTCAGCTACAACAAAGGGAGCAGCAGCAGCAACAAAAATGCAGGAAGCAAATGCAACGCAGGGAAGTCCTGCATTTTCCTGGCTGGGCTTTGAAGATAACACGGGTCAGGTCAAGAAGATAGGGCTTGTGAAAAGTTTTGAAAGAAATTACCTTTCCTGGCTAATCTTCAGACATAACTTTTCAAATCCTCACTGAAGATACAGAAACTCATCAGCAACACTCCTTGCTGGATGAGTTTCCACAGCTTGCCCTGCACCAGCCAGGTGGCTGTTAAAACTTCCCTGTAATAACTGAACCACTGTTTGGTTATGACTTGGCTGCTTCATCTCCAGGAAGTCTTTTCCTTTTTCCTGTCTTGAATTTCTAAATATTTGGACCCTGGTTGGTTTGTCTTCTTTCATTTGCAGTCCTTTCTGGCATGAAATATTTCCACCCTTGCATGACTGCAGATGCACATACGATTGGTGCCCATTGCAGTGCTGAATACCAGAAAGGATATTGTTGAGTTGTGCAGCGACATCTCTCAGTTTGGTAAAGAGGCCTTTGTCTGAAACATGTTGCCTTGCTGCACATTTCACATGCTGTAGTTATTCTCGGTCATATATATCCCTGGGAGTTGAGCAGCAGAAGTTTTGGAGCCTCCAAAACATCAGTTGCCACATGGAAGTTACAAGGGGGGAGGGGACAGTTCTGGTGCATCTCTTGATATAGGAGATATCGCATCTCGCTTTGTAGAGGCTAGTAAGAGCAAAGCGTTTTTTCCGTACCTGGCAGCAAAGGAGATTACATTCCTGGGTAGAAGCTGCGCGGTAGAGAAAGCCAAGACCGTGCCTGGTTGGTTGATTTCCTTTGTGCTCCGTCTTCCTGATCTGCCCAACTCAGATAGGATAGACTAACACTGGTGTAAGATCATCCTGAGGTCTTCATGACCTAGTGGGGGTTTGGACCTGGATCAGTCCTGGTCTACCTCTCCCAAGTCCTACATCTCCCAAGTAGAAGAACAGCCTTGTGGAGAAAGGGATCAAGGATTGTTTCAAGAAAGGCAATAGCACATTTGCAGTAATGCTGAGTTTGAATAATGAAAAGGGGTACAATTCAAGATGGAAAGGGTGTTTTGGATGCAGAAGAGCCCTTGTCAGAGACGGATATGTCCTGTGAAGGGTGTGGCTGGCCAGACTGGAAAAAATCCTTCCTGAGATTGTCAAGATTTGTTGTCCAAGGACTCAGGAGCATGCTTAGCTAGAATTGGGGCTGGGCTTAACGTAAGACAGTGCCAGGAGTGGTCTACTGTTATCCTCCGTCTTGCACCTGTGTCCTCCACAAGTGATTTTCTGCCTTACTCCCTCTCTCTTCCTCCCTTCCTCTCTCCTCTCTCTGCCTTCCCTGACAGAATGGCCTTGAGCCTGTCTTAGTCTTTGAAAGCGACAGTAACACCAACACCATTAAAAGGAGGCCAGGGACACTCAACCAGGTGAAGTGGGTGATGCGGTGCGCATGTGCAGCCTTCAGGGCTGGGTTTTCCTGGTGTGGAGGGCAACTGTACTCACAGTTTTTGCCCTGGCCTGGCCTGAGTACTTTCAAAGGAAAGGCGTGGGAAGCTTTCAGTGTCCATATAAGGCAGGGTGAACGATTTTTCTGCAGCTAGGAGCCACTTCTCCTGAATGTTCATTTCTGTTTAAATAAATTATGAATGTATAAAAATTCTAAAAAACACAAAATATAGAACATGGCATCAAAATTGATGTCATTAAAAGCAGTCAGCAGTTTTAAAAGCTTGGCAAAGCAACATGTTTTTGACACTTTCCTGAACACTAATTCTTATTGGCTATTGAGGACCACAGAGGGTAGGACAGGTGCCTTCTTTTTTCTTTTCTTTCAATATTTTGGGTCATGAAAAATTAATGTTTATAGTTGCATGAGCCAACTGGAGGCTGCATATGTTAATTTTCTTTCCCTTCCCACCCCGAATTGAGAGGAGATCGCCTTGTTACTATGTGCCGGGATGTGGCTGAGTTTGGCAAGGCAATCTTGGGAGACCTCTGCGATTGCTGGCCATAAGTTGCCCACCCCTCACCTAAGGGAGTCCACATCCTCTCTTACCTAGTTTGCATTCCTGTTCATGGTCTTTCCAAGTCTGCGTGCTACCTCCAGAGGGGTGACAGATAAACCTCAATACAGCTAGAAGAACATCTTCCCTGCTGGATCAAGCCCAGGTCTAGCATCTCCTTTCTGTTAGGAGCCACCCAGAAGCCTCTGGGGAACCCATTGAGGGATGGGAAAGGAAAAGCCCTCCATTGCTGTTCATTCATCAGCAGCCGGTATAGTCTGTCTTGTTGCTGTGCAGGTCAGTTTAGCACAGTGCCCCATGCTGGCTGGGGAATTCTGGGAGTTGAAGTCCACACACCTTAAAGCTGCCAAGGTTGAGAAACAGTGGTTTAGCATGATACATCTAGCTGTATTTGAGTCAGTCCTCCACGAATCAGGGATTGAAACCAGTGGCTGCCATTATATAGAGTGACGTCTGTTCTTAATTTTCTTTAGTGACACTTCATTCTAGAGAAATGAAGAGAATGAAGAGAAATGGTGCTTCCATTGTTTCTCCATGCATGATCATGCATGATCATATACATTTCAGTCATACTTCCCATCTTCCCTCTCCCCAAACTAAAAATCCACCCATGCTTTTGCTTTTCATTGCAAGAGAGACTCGTAAGGAATAAGCTACTCAATCATTTTGGTTGGCCAGAGCAATTGGAAAGATCATAGGACTTTGGTTTCTCTCTCCTCCTCGGTCCCATAAACAGCACTAAGAACCCTCCTCCCCCCCCCCATGCACTTTTTGAATTTCCTTGCTTGGTGGAAACCCATGAAGGATATCCTGTCTGTTCCAAAATGAACATCTTCAGCAGACTTGTGGGTTGTATTTATGACTGGTCCCTCCTTGATGATTTTGTGTTCCTAATTAGAGAGGGACGGTTAGTTAGCAGAATGTATGGATTCAGCTTTTCTAAAAACTGGCCCCAAGTTTAGAGTCAGGGATAGACATTCCGTGATCAAGAAACATGTATTGATAGACCTATACTATCCTTCTCCACCTTGGTACCTTGGATTACAGCTCTCGTCCATCACAGCCAGGGCAGCATTGGCTGGGAGTGATGGGAGTTGTAGTCCCACACATCTGGAGATTATCAGGCTGAGGAAGGTTGGTATGTACATTTGCTGTCTAGCCCTTAATTATTGTTAAATTATGTTCTGTCAATGGAGCTTGAGTAGGAAGGTCAGCTGGCATCTTGTAATGATTGCTATTAGCATATACATATATGGTGGAGCCTGTAATCAATAATAAGACGTCTCTAAAAGAAATTGTGGAACTAATTTTGCAACCAGAACTGTCTCAAAGCGTTTTTTTTGTACTCCTTTGGCTTTGGTGAAGGTCTTGCATATAATCAGCATTGCTGCTTTATTTTTTCACAGTAATTAGGACCTGCTTTTCTATAGCTGGCTTAGCAGAAGCTCTTTTCTGTTGCGGCTTTTGTTCCAATACATTCAAACTCAAAAGAGAATTGGATGTTGATCTCCATTATTGAATTACCGAAAGAGTTAGCTCCTGCTTTTGGAGAACCTTTTTATACAATGTACCTTTTCTCTTAAGAGAATCAGCTGTCTTCAACTGCACACCACTTTACCTTTCCTCTTCCAAAATGATCTTCTCAATGTGCTGCATTCTTCATTTGAGTGTTTGCTGAATGTCTGATAGCTTCATCTCTCTCTTTTCGATCCACAGAGTGATGACAGATCCACCATCTCACCAAATTCACCTGCTTCTCAAACAGGTAAACAAGGAAGTGGCCAACAGCAGATTCATAATGAGGTCAGAGAAGGACGGCTGTCAGGATTCTGGGCAGGCAAAATGCCATGCTTGCCTCCCATAACTTGCAGGAATGTGTATTTAAGGTAGCAGTCACAACCCATCTGTGACTGCCAGTCCCTTGGAATGAAACTGATCCCCAGTCACCCATCATCTCTGTTCCCCACATGCCTCTTGGCTTCATATAGACCAGAGACGTTCTTAAGGCCCAGGGGGCGTTTGGCTTGAGCCTGTGCTTCCCAGATATCTCCCCCCATTCCTGCCAAAAAAGAGGAAAGGAGTAATCCCTTGCACAGCACAGGGGGAAAATTCAGGGTGGGAGAGGAGAAGCTGATGGAATGGCAGGAGGAAGTGAGGAGGCCAACACTAGGCAAGGTGGGAGGAAGTAACGTGGATTTGGGAGCCAAGGGAGGAGGGCAGGGAAGCTGACGTGGTGAGAAGAAGGTGAGAGAGTGAGATGCAAGTGGAGAAGACTTTAAAAAGCCAGCATGAAAGGGTACTAGAGGTAAAGTGGGCACCAGTTGCCCTTGGACATTGGGCGAGCTCATTAATATGGAAGGATTGTAGCCAGAGCTTCACTGGCAATAGCAGAACTCAGAACTCAGACTGGGTTGCATTTGCTTAGCAAGTGTGCTGAAGACAAGGGGGCTTTTCTCAGAAGACTACGAAAAACACAGCTCAGACTCTTCTGGAATGAGCTGGTTTTGCCTTTGTCCTGTTTGGTTCTAATTGTTTATATTGTCATAGTAAGGATTTTGCTTTTCTCCTCCCCCTCCTCCCCCCACCCTGCCACACGTCTGCATTCAGTTCACCTTTCTGCCCCGTATCCTGGCCCTGCTGCTGCTCCTTCCTACAGAACAACTCCCCAGCGTCCTGAGAGCTTCCTTTTTCGAAATTCTGCCAGGGAGGAAGCAAACAGAGGTAGGTTGGACAGCTGGACTGGTGTCAGCATCTCGGTCCAACAGCAGAGCCCGGCATGTGTTGCTTTAGGACACTTGGTTCTCAAGTGGAAAACTAAAAATAGCTGGAAACAGACAAATAAGAGCAATCTTGTGTGAATGAAAAGTGTGGATTTCAGCTGCTGTTTGAAAGATAATTTCTGAAAACTAAGAAATGTTGGATACAAGTTCATATAGTGGTGCAAAGGATTTTAAAGATTAGTATTGCTAAGAAACCAGAACTTTTTTTATTGGAACTCATAGACGATGAATGAGAAAAGATTCATGGTAGACTGACATTGTGCATACAATCATCTTGCTATACAATGATAGAAGAATAATGGTATTCGCACAAGTGGAGGAATGGATTATGAAAATGTCAGAACTTGCAGAAATGGCGAAACTGACCTGTTTGGTCAGAGAACAAACAACAAAAACTTTTTGAAGGACTGGAAGCCTTATATGGACTTTTTGCTGAAAGAAGGAAAAAAATTATTTGTGGATTTGAAGATTAAGAAAGATGTGGACTAAATGAGGGGGTGAAGGGATTTATAAAATACTTAAGAGGGAGGAGGGACAATAAGAATGTAATTATCTCTTGAAAAGGAGGTCAGAAGTCACTTATATATTCACTTTAGTTTCCTTTTTCTTTTTTCTTGCACTTTCTGTTTTTCTGTTTTTTTCCTTTTTTTTCCCTTTTGGTTTGTCTTTTATATGAAAATTTTTGATAAATATAAATTTTAAAAAAGATAATTTACGAAGTATTTGCTAAATCCATATAGGTAATCCCCAGTTTGGCTCTTAGTACCGAAAAGGCCCATGCTTCACTAGCCACATATCTCGCCCCAAAAGGCTGGGAAGTGAAAGAGATCTTCGTTTCCTAGACTTTATCCCAATTCTGTAATCATGGAAGACTCTGAGAAACACACGTGTCTTGGGATATGTAGAAAGCAAGAACACCTCATGTTACAGTGGTTACCATCATATATGCACACTTGCAATCTGGTTAAGAACTGGGAGAACTGCTGTTTCTGAGGGATTGCTGGGCGGTGGCCTGGCTAGTACAAAATATTGCTTCTTTCTTGGCTGAGTTGTAAATACTAAGAGCAAACCCAGTTGCCAGGAGCATCTAATGCAGTGTTTTTCAACTTTGGCATCTTTAAGAAGTGTGGACTGCAACTCCCACAATTCCCCAGCCAGCATGTTGGGGAATTCTGGGATTTGAAGTCCACGCATGCTGGCTGGGTAATTCTGGAAGTTGAAATCCATACATCTTAAAGTTGCCACGTTTGAAAAACACTGATCTAGATCATTAGTGAAGAGTTTCCAAGCTCCTTCATTGGGCATGAAACCAAAGCGTATTATTAAAGGAACAGTTTCCATTTGTCTTATAGTCTTTTCCCTGTTGTGGTGGTGGTGGTGATGAGGATGATTTTGCCTTTTCCAGCCATCACATCACTGCCTGCTTCTGCATCAACTCCAGTTAATTGCACAGAAGACGTCAGTGATAATCAGAGTTCGACTTCGTTGCAGGAAGAAGAGGTTTTGGTGATAGAGCAACTGCGAAAAGTACGTAGCTTGATTGCGTTGAAGAGGCAGTTACTTTGTTTGAACAGAAGGTTAGCCCACAATGTGACAGGTTTTGTTTTTGGCTTACTCTGATGTCCAAACCTGGGAGGGAAATGTCTTTGCCCATCATGCTAACCCTGTGTTTCTCAACTTCAGCAACTTTAAGATGGGTGGACTTAAACGCCCAGAATTCCTCAGCCAGCATACTGAATGTAATACGTCAACTCAGCCGGTTGCGTATTGCAGTCCTCTCCACACCAATGTCCTTCATGTGTGTTGGATCAGCTCCTAGGATCTGGCAACGTGGCTGAGGAAATAAGAGGATGGATTAATCCAGAGAATATCAGTTTAACAAAAGCCGGGGCTCTGTTCCAAGAGCAGCCCTCCGAGAGCATTTGGGAAGTCCACATGAAGGATGAAGTAGCAGCCTATCACACTGAGGGCAAGAACTGCCTGTTTGTGAGGCCCTGTGTCTCAGGAGCTGTGGAAATGGGGAAATTGCTCCCTATCCCAGGCAGATCAGGCTGAAAATCTGGGGGGGTGGCGGGGAGACTTCATGCCATTTGGGAGGAATACTGCAAACATAATTGGCACATCGCAGTGGGAGTGGTGCAGTGGACTGAGTCTTTGTGCGATCTGTGGGCTGTGCTGTACTGCAGGATGCATCCTGTGTATATTTTGGGGCGGAGTGAAAAGTTGTCTTTCCAGCTGGCCTTGGGGACAGAAATGGTAATATGGGAGAGGCCAATTATCCTCTCCCCCTGTCAAGTTGCTCCCGCATACTCAGCATATCCCAGTTTGGTTCACAGCACATCTGTACCGGCATAATTGCTTTCTGGGGTGACTGTTAATTGCTGGGAGAAATTTTGGAGCCCTCTCCAAAACACAAGCCATAATGCAGGATAGACTTCTGAAGCCTCCTCTCCAGCAGGCTGCATGGGATGTCCTTTGGCAACCAGTGATGATGCTGACGGCTGTTATCTGTACCCTGAATATTCCCTGCTGTGACCAAGGCAGCTGACAGACCCAGACAGGTGCACCCCCAGAGAGTTAAAAGCCAGTTAGAATCGTCGTCAGGCCCACTCAGAAGGAATCCAGATTCCTTGTACTCCTAAGTGCAGCTGAAGGCTCAGCGCCTGATCGCTTTCAACCCGTCACTCTCTTAGCAACGTAGTTCTGGTGGCGGAAGGAGCTCTGAATCTCTCTTTCTCCTGCCCTCTTTTTTTCAGAACATTGAATCCCGGCTAAAAGTGTCTTTGCCCAGCGATCTCGGAGCAGCCCTAACGGACGGTGTGGTGCTTTGTCACTTAGCCAACCATGTGCGGCCTCGTTCCGTCCCTAGTATTCACGTGCCCTCACCAGCTGTCGTAAGTATCCACTGGGTCGTTTTGGGTCTGTTTGATCAAGTTTGCTTTCATTCCTCTTTTTCCTTGGAATTTTATTCAGCTCCTGTCTTGAAAGACCCTCAGAGTGACATAGGGAGATCATAGGTATAGCTGAAAGTTAAAAACAGATGGAACAGGGAGGATAAAAAAAAGAACATAATTGCACATTTTAAATGCTGTTGAAGTAGGGATGATTAGTTGGCAGTGCTACAGACTTCTCAAAGCAGTGTTTCTCAACCTTAGGAACTTTAAGATGTGTGGACTTCAACTCCCAGTTGGCTGGGGAATTCTGGGAGTTGAAGTCCACACATCTTAAAGTTCCCATGGTTGAGAAATACCATCTCAGAGGATAGCACATTGGGGAGAGAATGTGTCTCTGAGAAGAAAAATCTCTTTCTGGCTGCTCCCAGCTTAATTGTTGCTTACAAAGGTGCCAAAATGGAACTGGTGAGAGTCCCATTCCAAGCACTCTCAAAGCATGCCAGAATTTATATCTCAACTATCTCTTAAAGTTGCAAGGAAACCATTGCCTTAGAAGCTGTAACTGTAGAGAGAATAAGAAATGAAAAAGGATTGAAATCCAGATTATACTGGAAAGGGCTAAAAAAAGAAGTTGGCAATAAAAGGAGGGCTAAAGATCGCCGCCCAGAGTCATTTTTTGTGAGATGGGTGGCTATACAAATTGGACAGACAGACAGACAGACAGACAGACAGATGATCTGTAATAAAAGAAAGAATATATGCCCCAGGTTGCTGCTGTTCTTTGTCCTCAAAGAGGCTGCCTTGAAGTTCAAATCTTCCCCAGGTCAGTTGGCTCCTAACTCTGTTTTCATCAAGAATTCTGAATAAGGTATTGCTGCTAATGAAAAAATCAGGAGTCTGGTGGCACCTTTTCCATCTAATAAATTTTATTAAAGGGCATAAGTTTTTGTGAGTGGCAACTCACTGCATCTAACGCAGTGTTTCAGGGGCCGCAAGATCAAAATTATTTGCCAGACATGGAAGTTATTTGCAAAAATTTTAAACAATGTCACTCTTCCCATTATTATTTTTTATTTGCTAAAAAATATAGGTTTTTTTTCATGAAAAAATATTTTATGTTACTATCTAATGGGTTTAATATTGTTATTTTTACATGATTCAATAAATAAACATTCCATGAATGAGTTAGTTTTACTTTTTAATGCAGTAAATATCAATAAATATAACCATACAAACAAAAGCTTTTTTGGGGTCCTTCGTAGTTTTTAAAAGTGGGAGGGGTCCTGAGAGCAAAAAGTTTAAGGAATGCTGCTCTGATGCATCTAACGAAAGCTTGTTAGATGGAAAAGGCACTGCCGCACTGCCCCTGATTTTTTGCCACTGCAGATTAACAGTGCTACCCCTGGTGAATGCCGTGTTCCTCTTTCTCCTTCTGCAGCCTAAACTAACCATGGCCAAGTGTCGACGGAATGTGGAAAATTTCCTGGACGCCTGTCGAAAGATAGGAGTGCCTCAGGTAGGCGGGGAAGTCTTCCAATGTATCTTCTTACTGTGTGGATTTATTACATAGGGCCAAGGGTTTTGTTAATCTCCCAAGAGCCCCACTGTTCACGACACTAGTTTGGAATGGAATACACCGAAAACGACAGCTTGCACATCCAGAATATTTGAATTCAGAAATAGGTACGCAAGAAAGGATACGAAACAGAAGGAGCACTGATGCACCTGTCCTGTTCAGGTGCATTAAAGCTATGTGGGAGGAACGTCTTAGTCATCTAACGCCTGCTAGATATCGCGGACTACTGCTCCCATTATCCCCAGCCAAGAGAGCATTTGGCCATGCTGGCCAGGAGTGATGGGAGTTGTAATCCAACACATTTGTGAGGCCACAAAATAAGGAAGGGCACACTACATTTTAGATCTAATTTCAATTCTGTCTTCTGATTGACAGTAAAATGCAGTAAAATTAGGTACGGTTGCATCTTGCCAGCACAAGGATCCTGTTTCTAATCTGATCGGTGTTTTTGTTTCACGTCTTATGGTCTTTGTAAACAGAAGGTTATGCCCATGACAAAAATTCCAGTGCATGGAAAACTTCTGCACTAACCTACTCTAATTTGGGGTGTTCTGAATTCCTCCTGGGCTCTCAGGCCTATGTGAGTGTCAGTAGTTGGATAAAAGTGGGGGGGGGGCACTTGGGAGTAATTCAGAATACTGTTCCTGAAGCTGCCCAAGTAAAATATCTCTGCATTGCAATTTGGTTGGTGGGAACACCATGGAGCCGTGAGTTCCAGATGCACAAATCAGGTGCAATTGAGTTGTTCCATGGCATTGTCCAAATTCTGAAAGGATCTGATCTAAGCTCTTATTTAAGACTTTGAAACTGAAATCTTAGAGCAGAGTTTCTCAACCTTGGCAACTTTTAAGATGTGTGGGCTTCAACATGCTGGCTGGGGAATTCTGGGAGTTGAAGCCCACACATCTTAAAGTTGCCAAGGTTGAGAAACACTGCCATATTGTTTTGGTCAAGATATTGTGGTGTTTGGTCTGGTCTCTGACTGTAGGTGCAAAATCCTGCTTTGCAGCTGATTTGGGCGCAGCACTCCTCGCGTCTGGCTTGGTGCCTCGTCCTCGGAATGGGTGTAAGGGTGCAAGCTCAGAGCCTCTAGGCAAGGCAGCCCTCCCTATTCCCATTGCTTCTGCACTCTGCTTGCCGTCCTGTTCGTGCAAGAATTTGGCAAGGGCCCCTTTCAAAGTTCACCTGTTTTTCCTGACTCCAGCTATATTCGCTTGGATGGGAACCCTTGTTTTGTAAGCGCCCTGCTCTGGCACTTAGTAGCTCTCCTCTTTTTGCACCTCAGATCATGACTTGCATTGTCACTGTTTTGGCAAGAAATTTTACCCTGAAGAGCCAAACTGGACTATACTGAAGTAGGAAAAGCACATTCTTTAAAGTTTGCCTAGAATCCCCATCATTTAGTTGTTCTGTGACATGGATACCGCAAATTCTGTCTTCAGACCTGATGCACTAACCCCCCCAGGCACAGCCTTCCCTTTGGCACCCTCCCCGCTACACAGAGCAGTGCTCAGACATCCATTATTGGCCCTAGTCCTCCTCTCCAACATGCCTTGCCAAACCTCTCCTTCTTGCTAGATTTGAATTACTCCATGTTGCCCATAATTCTCCCATTGCACTTTTCTTGTTTGGATTAGACCAGTGTTTCTCAACCTCGGCAACTTTAAGAGGATCACATGCCTCTACCACAGAGCTTGCAGCTTGCTGATCCAAACCTTCTGCTGTATTTATTGCAGATTAGAGCCATGGAGGAGCAAATGTATTACATTAACATTTCCTAAATTTGATTTTAGGCTTATTAAGAGCCCTTTCATCTCCTACCATCCAGACGTTCACAGCAGGGGACACTTTGCCCTCAATATACCTGAACCGTTAAGAAGCAAAAGTCACTGAGTCTCCCCCATTA